GTAGCTAGGCCCTGTATACACACACACCCCTTACACCACAGTTACGACAAGGAGGAGGGAGAGGAGTAGGGCGAAAACTATAGGAGGACGAGACAAGAGGCAAAGTTCATGACGAGGAGACGGAGTCCGGAAGGGCCCGAGAGGTCCGGGGTCCGGGGTCCAGATTCGGTCCGGTGTCCGGTCCGGCGTAGCTATGCTCCAAACGCGCGAGGAACTCGTAGGTCAACCAAAAGAGGTGCGCGCTGAAAGTCCTTGGCCGCCGTGACAGCCTCCAAAACCAGCACCGCTCCTAAATCAAGGAACGACGATGCAAAAAATCATAAATCTAAAAGGATTTTAGTTGTTAGCATACGAACGAGGAAAGAGGAACCGCTACCACTGTTCCAACGCGCTGACGACAAAACCAATGAGAATAGCCCTGTCGGCCCTCCACTCCGTTTCGATACTCCTTTGCTGCCGCCCGCTGGTCTCGATCCCTAAATCCCTAGATGAAAGTCCGACAATGTAACCAATGGGGGTGGTCCAAGTCTGAACCCATTACTAGCGGACACCTATATAAACGGGTATTGCGAGGCGCGCGGATCTATCGAAACTTCTCGCAGCCATACTGTTGTCGATGTCGCCCTCCGCACGTCTGCACAAGTCACAGGCAAGCGCACCAATCAAAAAACAAAATCTTTTTTAATCAAAATTAAAAATTGGACCGGCAATGCGCGCCTTAGGTCTGCATGCCCACACACTTTCTACTTTAGTGAACCATCTAGTCAGCGTAAACAACAGACACAAGTGCGACTCACGTGGTGTACTCTGACCGTAAACCAAACTAGTGCTCTGTCACTTGCAAAAACCAGGGCGGATACCCTTGTAAGGGTATTCAAGCTGACAGCGTCGCCTTGCCATAGCTGCAACAACAACTTTGAGCAAGTGATCAAATTTAGCTTTGTAGCTTGGTTGGCCAGGTGTTACGCTAGGTGTCGGGTCAGGAAACAGATAGGATATAAGATTGCGAATTTGCTACCCGAGGAGTGTATGTAGTTATTGTACAACCCATGCACAATCGGCAATTCCTCATCCCAAGAGTTCTGATAAGGCACAATTAGGGCTCGGAGAAGCTGGATCACAGTCTGGTTGATCTCCTCTACCAGTTCATTGGCTTCAAGATGTCGACCAGACGTCATCTTGAATGTACCTCTTGTTAAACTCCTCTATCACAAGGTCAGTTGGGGCGTGGGGTGGCAATGGAATCAAATTCAGAAATTTTGAAAAGCGGTCAACGATCACCATTACTTACAAATATCCCTTCCTGCTCTTCTTTTCGATGTCCGCGAAGTCAATGGATACAGATTCACCCGGGCCATCAGAGATAGGAAGAGGATGCATTAGCCCATAGAGCTTTTGCCGAGATGGTTTGATGCGTTCGCAAACTTTACACTTAACCACAAACTTTTGTGCCATTCCTCTCATCCCAGGCCATACAAAGTTTTGCAGTAGGCTTTCGTATATCCTCTCAAAACCCCTTCTCCCCCCCCCCCCCGGTGCTCTATTCGAACACGGTAAGAAGAGGGAGTAGGTAGGAGACTGTGGCTGTTGCTGCTGCCGATACTGAGGCAACTGCTGTTGCTACTGATGTCTAGCGAAAGCCTTGCTGCTGCTACTGCTGAGAAAACAGTTGTCCAACCCCCCAGGCGGAATGACCAACGGGCCGGTGCGGCCAAGGGGATCCAAAAACTAACTTTGCCAAAACAAGGCATATAGGGGCTGGAACCAAACATGGCCCATATCCTAGGCATATATGGATGCCCTGCAAACCTGCCAGGCCACTTGAGTCCATTTTTCTACAAAAACGAAAGATGGTCCCCGAACTGTTCGCTTAGAGCCTCGGGCGGTGCCCGAAACAGGCAAGTAGGGGCAAACGGCGACGAAATCCGGTCAAACTTTAGGGAGGTCTTCAGTTGGGTATAGACAAAGGGCCCATGAAGTTAGGTGGACATCTGACCTCGTTTGGGCCATGCAAGTCTGTGTTTTTCGGCTCCCCGTCCCCTAGCAAAACTGGCAAACACTGAAAAAACTGCAGATCTGAGTTTTTCCCAGTCTGAATTTTCCTTGCAAATCTGAGTTTCTCAAAGTTTGAGTGTCTGTGCAAGTCTGAATTTCGCAAGACTGGGTTTTCTGTTGGTTCGGACGGTGGGACCACATAAGCAGGAAGAGACCGGAAGCTTGAGGTCTACCATAGCCAAGCACCTTCATGCCTTCTTCCACCTCCACCTCCTTCACCTATCCACCACAGCCAAGTACCTCCACACCTTCTTCCAACTGCACCTCCTTCACCCATCCACCATAGCCAAGCACCTTCACACCTTCATCCACTTCCACCTCCTTCACCCATCCACCATAGTCAAGTACCTCCACATCTTCTTCCACCTCCGTCTCCTTCACCCACCCACCATAGCCAAGCACCTTCACACCTTCTCCCAACTCCACCTCCTTCATCGATCCACCATAGCCAAGTACCTCCACACCTTCTTCCACGTCCACCTCCGTCACCCATCCACCATAGCCAAGTACCTCCACACCTTCATCCACCTCCACCTCCTTCACCCATCCACCATAGTCAAGCACCTTCACACCTTCTTCCA